ACTTATTGTAAGTTAGATTGGGGGTAGCGAGAAGAAAAGGTTATTTTCTCATTCTCCCAGTTGGAGATAGAACATTGTACACTGCTGGTGCTTTAAGGGCTTTTCCTGTATCCTGTGTCTAAGTTACTGAACAAAAGGCAGGCTATGAGTGACAGTGCCTTTGGTGCAGGGACCACAACCATCCATTCCATCTTGACCACTCTGTTACAAAGCCTCTCTCTCTCTCTCTCTCCTTCCCTTTGGCCAAATTCATTTTTTAATTCTGCTTTTCTTGGTGGATTTTTTGTGGAGACCATCCCACCCTAAAAGAGCCAGTAGACTGATAGTTAAGCTCTCTTAGCACAGGGCTATTTTGTAGACAGGGCCAGACACTGGTCTCTATCAGAGCTATATCAGTTTGTGGACCTAGCCTTAAGTACTGTTGTTGGTGGATTTAGTCCCCTACCAGACTGGAGGTGCTAAAGTTACACCGGTTCCTATTGTCATACAAAGTCCCTGTGGGAAATGAACGTTGTCACAATGCAAATACTGGTTCCCAGGTAAACTTTTTTGTGGCTGTGGTATGGAGCAGTGGCAAGAATTGTTAAACAGGTTTCATATCAGTGGAACAGTTTCCTCTGCCTACATAGATGGGATTCTCAAGTCTTGGCTTAGCTAGCTATTTGTGTCGGACCAGTACAAAGTGATATGAAGACAGTGAGGGACTTGCTGCTTTTGTTTGTAATGATGCATGTTAGTAACAGAAACTGGTGCTTATCTCATTTAATGCAGTTGCATTTCCTTCAGAAAAAAATAGTTATTGTGGGGACCTGTTCTGTCTCTCTTGCAGCAAAAGCAAAGAATAATGCTGAATAATGTTATTTGCCTATTTATTTGCTGTTTGGATCCTTAGGAGTATTCTGTATTAGAGAAAATGTAGAAAAGTATTACTACAATATATAATATATTGTTTTGGAATAAGATATTAGGTGTGTTGATTTGATGATCCTAAACTAAGTGTTGCAAATAAAAATGCATAGAGCAAATAAAAAGAGATTTTATTTTGAGGATTTTCTTGCTCTTGTCAATTGTAAAGAACCTAAGGGAAATACATTTTCTGTTAGTTTGTAACTACCAGACCTTGAGTTATTTTACTTTCCTTTTTACATGTCAACTTTAGGAATATTTTAGATTGGACTTTAATCCTTCTCCAAATAAATGCTATTCATTTTCTTTTCTAGTTCTTAAATACAACAAAGGAGGAGAGTTGACAAATGTAAGTGAAATTAGTGTATGGCAGCCTCTCCTCCTTCCCCCTTTCTGCTTGCAAAGGTGATCTGATGAAAGACTTGGTTAGTGAACTGAATACTGTACCATGATCAGTGACAAGTCTCATTCTCACAGATAATTTCTAGCAACTGTAGGCATGTGAATATTGTGCTGTAAGAGAATCATGGTTAGTTTTGTGTCCAGAAAAAAGCGCCCCTCAAATTGTGCATGCCATCACCACTGACTGCATTTGCCAGCTCCATATGCACGGCTTGTGTTTAGCTTATGTTCTTAAAAGTATTCGCCATTTTTAGAGTTCACTATCTTCTTATTAACCTACAGTACTAAACATGTTAGTGGATAATTTTCTTGCGTACCTCAGGATACTACTTGTATTCTGAAAATTTCACAAAGCAGGTTGAAGGGATATGGAAGATGGGAAATGCAGTTTGTCTACAGGGACTATGTCTACACTGACTCCTCAAGGGTATGTGAGAAAGGGCATTTTTCTGACCTTAAGGTCAGATTCCCCAGGCAATTTTTAAATTTTTTTTAATGGGCAGAAGAAGCAGTGTTGTGGTCTTTTCTGTGAGATGATGCATACTTTAGGAAGTGGGTTCCTTTTGAGAATTTAACTTCCTTTAGGGCCTTTTGATTGGAGATAAGGGCTTTCACACATGGTGCTAACCACTTAGTAAGACAGTACCAGTGGCAGGTAAATTTTTGGAGATTGAATTCACTTCCTGTGGTAGGAAAGTCAGTTTGCCTACATGTAGGATACTTTTTGCTCTAACTAAAACTCCACTTTACTGTATGTAGAATTAACTCAATTATTTTTATTCACTCTATTCTACCTTAAAAAAACTATTTACTGTTTAAACAATACAGAACAGTTTTATCTGACTACTGCTTCAGTTCTGTGTATTATTTAGAGTCGGTACTGTATCTTAAGGGTCTTCCCTAAACCCACACTAAGTGTTAAGAAAATAATTTTATACGTGCTGTAATACCTAATCGCTGTACAATGATAAAATAACAACACTTCTACATAAAAGCTTTAGAACACGTACTTCAGAGGATCATGTATTTTAACTGGACTTACCATATAGTGAGAAGTCTTAGTTTTCCTGAAGATTGACTGTTAAAATTACAATTATAGTCAAATTTTCTTGATCTGCGAAGTTCATACAGTGCTAGATGTTAAAAAGAACAATTGTATTTCTCTGTAGACAGAATCCTAATTGTCTCAAATGAAATATTTGTTGTAACTTGATTTTGTCTTTACTGAAATAGTTTGAATTCAGTAGGCTGATACGTATGAAGGTGTAATTTTTTTCTTATACTCTAGTTTAGCCACAGTGTCCATTTGTATGTCTTTAGATCCAGAGACCCTCTCGCTCCTTTCAGGGTGTGGGATGCAGGCCTGGTAGGCATAGGCCAGGCCCCAACACAGTATCAAAAGTCTCTGTCTGTCTGGTGTAAGCAAGACATCCTTCCTTCAAGTGGTCTGCCATTTCAACAGGACTCCATGCCTGTTCAGATGTGAACTCTCAGGCCATCAGAGGTGAAAACTGCTCTAGGCACCTGCCCAGATTCTCCCTCAGACCTTGCTACCCAGAAATTTGCTGGCTTTAAGCACTTTCCTCTGTGTCATCCTCAACTGGCTGGTTGCTGGAGGTTCCACGGAGATTTGAACTTGGATCACTGGATTCAGAGTCTGAGGATGGTCTTGTAGACTACTGATGCAAGTGGACCACCAGTGATGAAAGAAGGGAGGTGTCCAGTATCTGAGGGAATCAGTAGTAGTGGAGGTGGTCTACAGCAGCCTAGACGACAACCAGGTCTCCAAAGGTCTAGATGATACCCATTGCACCCTGGGCCATGTGGCAGAGGTTAGTACAATATGCACCAGTGTAATATGTCAACACATTGGTGATGATGGACTGGCTGGATATCGAGGCACTAACTCTGGAGAAACTGTCCCACCTGCTCTGGCAATTCAAAGAGAATCTTCCTCCACCACCCTGTGGGCCTGCATCTCGGCTGTGGCTCGAGTATCCCACCATGTTCACTGACTTGGAGATAATATCTCTTCCTCCTTGCCCCAACAGCCATAGTCTCGGCTATCAAGGGTGCTGAAATAGGTGATGGTGCCTTAACTGTATGTTGTACTGTGATGCCATTTGTTTTTCAAGACCCAGGATGATGTTTTGGGTGGTGATATAGGCTGCAGGGTACAGTTCTAGCCACCTGCTCATTGCCTCCGTCATGGAAGCACATAGCACTTGCCTTGGTGGCAGGTTCACAGCAGTGGTCTGTTGTAATTGATCTGCTGGGCCTCCTCATATTGATAACCCAGACACCATCTTCTGTTCCAGGGAGACTTTAGTCGCTTGGCTCACTTGATTACGGTGCGTGTTTCACATTCATGGGTAGCCTGTGCAATAGCTTCAGTTGTCAGATCCAGACTTTGATCAAGAGCCCATCCATTGCATCTCTTTCTAGGTGTCCCTAGGGACATGTTTCATGGGCCCATTGAGCTAGAAATAGCTCACCTT